TATATATATAGAGATATAAACTTAAGGTTATATCCCTTTATATACCTCTTAGTCTCTTTCCTTTACAATGCCCTAGGGCTTATAATAAGATTTATTAGTTATTATAAAAGCTTATAGGTAAAAGCTTATATTAGGGGGAAAAAAATATTATATTGTTATTTATTATCTGTGTTTGCAGCCTAAAGCTTAACCTTATAGGCCGCAGTCATCCTATAGTCACTTTAAATCTTAGGCAGAAACTGTATACTGTTATGGGATCGAAGGTCCCCTGACGAAATATATATATAACGTAACATAGCATAGTGGTCTAGAGACGGGAGCGGATCTTTCCAAGATACTTGACAATTTCAGGAAGAAAAGGGAGTAATCCGAAACAGGGGTAGCTGCGCATAGTGGGCTAAACTAGTGTAACGACATATCCAAGCCTACAAGCTAAGAAAAATAAGGTCTCGTATTGTCGATCAATTAGAAAGGGGCTGATATAGAAAACAGTCGCATCCCAGGGGCGCAGTGAATATGTTTTATGGATCCCCAGAGCTCGTTTCTGTCACGTTGTACAGTGGAATAGGGGAGCAAATGGATAGGACCAGCAACAACTAAGCTACCGAGAGATCCGATTGCTGGCAAGGTACTCTTGAGCCTCAGAAGCTTTCCAAAGACGACCAATAGGGGGTCTGTCGATACGGCGGAGCCCATAATCGGTATACACAAACAGACCGACTTGATTTCAACTTCACATTCCGCAGCCATCATGTCACTGCGTCAAGTCTTCTGCTCACGGACAGCTCATCCGACTTGGCCATATAGTATGAGCAGAGATTGAAAGCAGGAAAGCACGCTTGCTCATTTCTTCAAGTGCTGTTTGAGGTGAAAGCCAATTACCAACTGAAGTTGCTTGGCTCAGGAATGGCGACACTTGCCTGCTTAAAGATATTTCACCCAATCAGGCAATATTACAGGACGACTTTTAAGCGACGCCTCTGCCATGTCCTCTGAGTGATTTCATCTTTCGAAAGAGCAGAGTTCAGAGAGTCCTTTCATATTAATAAAACAGGCTCTATGCGAAAGATATATGTGAAATGCGATATCTAGAGCCTATTATTTCGTGTTTCTTCTTGTGACATGATCTCAAGCTACCCTCAATAGAAAACAAGCTTTTACGACGACTATCCAGAAGGCTTCGCTGACACACCAGACGGCTCAAGTTTAACGCCAGGGCCATGCCGTTCGAGAAAAGCTCGGGATGGCACGGTCTTCTTGGCCGCTTCGTCCTTCGATAACGCCAATGTGTTGTCCCGCCCTCCATATTGTGTGCTTCCACGGTCCAAATCGGTAAGTGCGGTGATGGTTGCGTTATAGCTTGCCTCGTCTATTTGCCCACCCACATAACGCGCTTGGCCTTGCACGTTGACTCGCCTTGCGTAAACCAGATCCTTTACGGTTGAAACCGTGATACCGTACGCATTATCGGCCATAGTTATGTCTTCAAAGACGTTAGCGCGCTCCCTGGCCAGATCTTCGCCCGCATGAGCAACCACATTCATGCATTGATGAATGCTTTCTTTCGTCTCCTGTAGTTGTGCCAGTTCGTTGATGTCATCTTCAGAGAGGTCTGTTTTCAGTTTCATGGCATCCATCCTCTTATCGATTTCGCTTCCATGGCTTCTGAGACGTGACTCCAACGCGCTGATAGAACTCTTAGCAGAACTCAGGCTACTTTTGATGTATTTATCTGCTGAAGGCTGTTTGGAGAACTGTGGGTTCTCGCTAGACGTTGATTCGAGTGCTTCAATATGCAAAGATAGCTCAGTGCAGATCTGGAGGCCCTTTCGAGTACTTTCTTTCTCTTCAAACAGAGCAAGCCAGTCGGTGCTGTCAGACTCGACGCTTTCAGCCGGAGGCGCCAGGCTACGTGCTCTCTCATCCAGCCGCTGCATGTGCTTTTGGAGATCGGCGGTTGTATCATCTATCATGTCTTTGTATTCGTCGATGACATTGCGCGTAACAGCGGTGATAGTTCTGTAGAGAATAAAGTTAGTTGTAAGTTTATTCCATGCATAGATCTCGATTGAGGAACCGCACATATTTGCATTGGCCAATGCTATATTAATAGTGGACTTATACCCAGCAAGCATATCCCTAAAGTCTGTGATATCTCCCTTCAGATACTGCTGGCCAATCCAGTCTCGGAAACTTGGCCGAGTCCCATTGGAATGTTTTGTGCACCGAGCAATAAGTTTGCCATACTCCTCGCAAGTCTTTCCACAACGTAGCAAAGGTAATTCAAGAGACTCGAAACTGATGTCAGGGTAATTTGTAACTGTCTCGAGGAGCGAGTGCAACACTCCAGTGAGATCATTCAGCTCATTTTTGAGTGCGCGCGCGTTGGCGTCCTGGGTTTTGTAACTGCGAACAGTCTTGTAAAGAACAGTGCTCGACTGAAAGGCGAACGTCACCAGAGCTAACACTCCAGAGGCAACACTAAGTCCGTCTGCCATTATCGCCGTGTCTTATAAGTGAGTATTGATGGTAGAGGGACGGAAATGAGCTTTGTCACAAGGACATGCGGTCGCTTATTTAATGCCGCAGTCGCCACGCTGACTATAGAGTTATGGCCAATAAACAAGCAGCCATCTCACGAATGCGAGACTTAGACTAACCTACAAGGCGTTTATGCGTCGATGGTTATTGGCGCGGATCCGGCCGGCCGACCCCCCGCGTGGGGCCAGCAGGGTCCGGCCAAGACCAATATACTTCCAAAAATAGTAAATTAAATATTTCACGCGTCTGTCCAAGACGCGAGGTTTAACAACGCTCGCTGATATGAGGTCACCTCTTCACCGACTACCCTTAGGAATGTGGATTTGATTCAGTATACCCGAGTTGCATCTCCAACTGTACAGACATGTTAGTCGAGCGATACTGATGATGAGGTCTTGAAAGCCAAAATTCTTATCAAGAAAACAAACCGTCTTTACAAAAGGGATCTGATTATGTCTAAACTTGTAACGCCTTGTATATCTCCATCTCTACACGTTCCGAGCACTCCAGCACCAACGCATCTTGAACCTCAAGTCAGCAAAGAACCTCCCCCAATTGATCTAATTGACTTACCTCCGTATGGAAGTATCTGACTAGCAATAATGCCGCCGATGTTGTTCTTGCGATCAGCGAACCAGAAGAGATTAGCCAAGCCTTCCCACGACGCTGAACCAGCCGCACGGCCCGTGGACTCGGGGAAGTGATTAATGGAAAATGATAAGCCCCAGCCCTCGGTATGATCATCTGGCATTGGTGTCAGGGGAGTTGGGTTTGCTAGCTCTGGTTTGGCGACGGGGACACTGATGTTGCTGAAGCGTGGTTTGTCGGGGATTTGATCGGTGAACATGTCTAGTTAGTGATATCAGTGCAAGCTGGGCAGACTATCCTGCAAAACAGGCCAAGTTTACCATTGACTGTCTCCGGTTTGAGGAGCCGAACTCCTGATTTGGCATCTAATCCATCGTTCAGAAGCAACGATATAATTCCTGTAATACAATGAGCAAACAAGACATAAAGCAAGACCAAGGGTGTCTATACTTACGTCCAAACTCTGCTGGTCTTCCAAAACATCCATGACCGCCTGCACATGGAACCTTCTCGCCATCCCGAGCAAGGAGCGGACGTCGATAAAAGTGGTCTGTAGTACTCAGCTTGCCACTTGGGCTTCTGCGATGCATATACGCCAAGTTCGACTTATCCTCTGCTGACGGATGAAAAGTGACATGGTCCATTCCCAGTGACTGGAAGATCTTGTCTTTGAAGACTTCCTCGAGCGACTTATTGTATGTGCGTTCAATTATAACGCCAACCCAATCCATTGAGATGCCATATTGGAACGTCTCGCCAGGCTGATTCACTAGAGGCCGATTTGCTGTCTCAATTGCTTCTCCCGAGAAGTCATCAAAACCAATTGGGCGACTGAATTCGGCTAGTTTCTCATCTTCAAAAGCATATCCGAAACCAGCTGGTCACTCATCAGTGCTCATATTTCGTCACCTAGTGACTCAAGCCATACCTGTGTGAGTGAGAAGCATCCGAAGAGTTATTTACCTGACTTTCTCAACAAGCTCAAGCTTACCGTCCTCATTTCGAGTCAATACCTTGACATCGCGTAGCTCAGGGCAAATGGCTTCAACTTGATCTGCATCGTCTAAACGTAACTTCCCCTGCTCGACAAGTTGCATGCACGCGACTGATGACGTCAATTTTGTAAAAGATGCCATGAAGAAAATAGTCTCTTCTGACATAGGGCTTTCTGAGGTGACTCCCCTCAGGCCGGAGTAATGTTGAAAGATCGGCTCGCCATCGTTTCTGAAGGCGGAGTAGACAAGGCCTGGGATCTTGCTCTCGACGCCCCCTGTCGTGTACTCGTCGATAATACCACGAAGCTTGGATTGGGTATCCTGTGATAGTACAGGCATGATTGAGGGAGTATGATCCGGATTCCGGAATAGTCTAGATCGGATGGTATCGGGTCTGGTTGCTTATGGGCTGTCAGTTGGCCGCAAACGCTCGACTCTATAGTGTATAAGAACAGCTTTGCCGATCTGGCTCCAACCTGCCCTTCGTGCGAATTGAGAAAGGCCCGAAGTAGTAGCAACACGCCTTTTCCAGTTCTGGGAGCGGAAGATGGTTTAACTCAAGGGAGCCAGAGAAAGGTGCGGGGATCAAGCACCAAGAATGGAGTTGAGGTTATTACCCAATTAGGAATAAAGTCAGACTGCACGCGCGATAACGTCAGATACAGGGAAACCGGCCACCCCCCGAAACCGGCCACCCCCGAAACCGGCCACCTTACACTAACAGATAATGAAAATAAAATATTTTATAACTTTCTTTATATAGCT